TTTTTTGGTGGCCAACACGTGACTCAACATATAGCAGTTTTCGTTTCGCACGTGTTGAGGTGACAACGATCTCGCATAGTTGTTGGCTTTCGGAGGAATCAGACGTCACCAAAACCAGTCTTTTTGCCGTTAGAAGAAGCAGTTGTCGGCAAAACCAGACTTCGTTGTTTAATGCCAGAAGAATTAGATGCCACCAAAAAGCAAAAGACCGACGACAGAATCTAGAACAACATCCTCAACCCAAGTCAGCTACACTCCCGTGATTTTTCTGTGTGTTCTCCTCGCCATCAACACGGATTGGACGTCGCCAGTCAAAAACTCATATTAGAACATTGACAATCCCATCCTTTACTTTCAAAGAAGTATATGAATATCCTTTTGATCAAACTGTACCCCGATAATAGTCAATCGACGTCGATTCCGTCCTTTTGTAAGTTTTTGCATGTTTTTCTATATCTTATAGTCTGCTATCTCTGTATTCATATGTATTTCGCCGCATTAGTATCTGTTTAATTGGTAACTTATCTCCACATCCCTTGTATTATTTAGTTTTCTTTTTCTTACTTTCACACTTTGTATATTCTATAAATAAAATCTTTGTATTATATATTCTCGTGTCGTCTTCTGTTGTTCTGTGTCTGCGTATGGTTCATTTTCTCTCTGCGTTTACGGACGTCCGGAATTGGAGAATTCCCCTCCCAACGTTCTTTTCTTTATTTTTATATCGAACCTTGGGATCTCTTATTTTTGTTTTATTTTATTTTCTCGTTGCGTCCCGGCTATCGTAGTCCCAACGAAACACCGAGCGTAATAATAATAATTATATATTACAGTGGTGTTCACCCTGTACAAGGCCTCGATGCTACTTGAGGTAGGGGGTTGCAGTAAGAGGCAGTTTATATGAATAGGTGAGGAAGATAACATTTAAGACTTGACTTGAACAGGTTAAGGTTGTAGTGATTGGGGAAACATTCTCTTGGAAATCAATTCCACAAAACAGTGGTTCACAGGAAGAATTTGTTTGAGCTGAATTAATGGAATGTCATGTCGGATCCTGGCTGTGAAGATTAGAACTGGCAGAAACAAGGAATGCAGTTTATCTGAACACTTTCCATGAAAAGAGCTATTAGAGCCGTGAGAGAGGAGTAGGAGGTTCGAAAATAATGTTACCTACAAAGACTCAGAGACACTTTTGGACTATAAATCAAAACTGAAAAGTGATGACTGGGCAGTTCCAGCCCAAATATGACAACAGTACCCCATTTTAGGGCTGATCTAGCCCTTGTAAAGGTATATCTGGCTCTGAGATGAGGTAATATGATTACTTGCATTATTTACATTATTTGGACTGTTATCCTCACCTTGAGGACATCTGTGTATGAATTTTTGGGACTTATAAATTCCTACACAGACATCCTCAACGACACATGGCCCAGAGGATAAAGACGTTGGTTAGATCCAGTGACTAGACCCAAAGAGTTGTGAGTTAAATACCAGGCCGTGGTGAACCAAAAATTATTGTATATCTTCCTTCCTTTCTTTCTTTCATTCATTTATTGTATTTCTTTCGTTCCTTTATTGTATTTTTCTTTCATTATTTCCCTTACATTATTGTATTTATTTCTTTTATTGGATCTTTTTTCTTTCTTTTTTGTATTCCTTTATTTTATTTCTCTCTCTTTCTTTCCTTTACATTATTGCATTTCTTTCTTTACTGTATATCTTCCTTTCTTTCGTTCCTTTATTGTATTTTTTTTCCCATTCTTTACATTATTGTATTTCTTTCTTTATTTCCTTTACATTATTGTGTTTCTTTCTTTTATATTTTTCTATTTCTTCTTTTTCACATTATTGTATTACTTTCTTTTTATCTTTTTTCACAAAAAACTTCTGAGTTTGAACATATCTCATGAATATTTAATATTTTTATGGTAAAAAAAAAAAAGCTATAAAACATCTGTTGTTGGATTTACAAATAAAGGACTAAAATTTAAGAAATTTAAAAAAAATATTTAGCATAAATTTAAAAATAAATATGTCAAAAATATTTGATTAATACAGGGTGTCCATAAAGTTCGTGTGTACTTTCAAAAAAATTATAACTTTATTTATATTTGCGATAGAAGTAATCTGTAAAAAATGTTATAAAGTTTAATGTACCTAGTTTTAAGTATAGCTAAAATAACTAATGCGATTTCAGGCATTACTGTAAATCAGTTGGCAAATGTTTTCCGTGAACTGCAAAATCGTATTACCCTTTGTATTGCTAATGATGGAGGACATGTGGATAAAATTTCAATAAAACCTTAAAAAATATAGATTTACTTCTTTCTTTTTACGAATTATTTCTGTCGCAAATACAAATAAAGTTATAAATTTTATTAAAGTACACACGAACTTTATGGACACCCTGTATAATCTCAGTGGTTTAGAAATAAATAAGTCAATGAATATATTCAATAAAAAAAATACTGTGCAGAAATATATAATACAAATTAGATTTTATTATAACAAACTCTTCAATATTATACAGTAATCGATGTAAATTATTCAAAATTAAAATCATCAAAGCAAGAAAAAAAGCAAAAATAATAAAAATATACAAGCAACTCCATAATTACATTGTACTCTTTTGAGAGTACATCCGAGAGGTACAAAGGTCTCTGGTACAAGAGAAGCTCCATATTTGCCAAATATAAAAATAGGTATCCTTAATTTTAAAAACAAGATTTCTAATCTATATATAAATATGTACATTAAGATAAACATGATATTACTTCATGAGGAAATCTTATTTACGAAAAAGAAAATATGAGAGATCATTTGAGTTAAATTTGAACAAGGTGTCATCTATTTATATTTGACAAATCTGGCAACTCAGTCGTATATAAATATAAATAAAACTGATTTATTTCTATTGCCTGCCTGCTGGGTGCTTTGCTCTGAAAAGTGCCTCTATATTATGTTTAATTTAACCTAATGAAATTTGATATGTTGCATGTGATCTTTGAAGATTTTACTAATATTTACAATGCGAGTTGTACCCACCACAGATGTGTCTTCAATCATAACTATTTGGCGTTTTACTTGGTGTTCGATGGTTGACACATTGGTGAAGAAAAAGCTTCTTTCAAACTTACTAATATTTACAATGCAAGTTGTACTTACCACATGAGCTTTACCCAATCGTAACAATTTAGCTATTTTTGTGCCTGCCCCAATGGTTGACTCATTGTTGAAGAAACGGATGTTTTTTTATTTTATTTTATTAATATTTACAATGTGAGTTGTGCCCGCCACACAAGCTGTGCCAAACCCAAACTCTTTTTGTATCGCCTGATGGTTAACTCATTGTTGAAAAAAAAAAAGAATGCTTTTTATTTTATTAATATTTACAATGTGAGTTGTGCCCACCACACGAGCTGTGCCCGACCCAAACTTTTTTGTGTGTCGCCTGATGGTTGAAGAAATGAATGTTTTTCATTTTATATTTTAAACTTCACCCAATAGAAGGCTCGAGAGCCACTCAAGGTAAAGGGTCACTGCTAAGATGGATGAACGAGGTGTGTGATATTAATGAAAGGACAGTTATTATGAAGTGAAGATTATAAGAGTATGGAAGAAAGGTAATGATGGACCCTGGACTTGTGGTAGTCTACAAACAAATCACAAAATAGGCCAACACTCTGTCTTCTCCCACTCTCTAAATAAGATAGCAATATCTCTTGATTTTAACCCAGAGTATTTTTCTCCATTTCATTTGTGATTTGTTTGTAGGCCTTGAATATTGAGAGCTGCTTTTTTGTAGAGCTCTCATGAAATAAAAATTATTACCCATGGGATTTTAAGTATTTGATATTCTTTAATAATAATTTTCCTCTGTCTTTTGACAGAGCTCTCCCTGGAATTTCCTTACGGATTACCATATTATTATCATTACTATATATATATATATATATATATATATATATATATATATATATATATATATATAACAGGAGTATCCAAGAGGAACAAGTGCCTATTTTGGAGATCGCACAGCATGAAAACTGGTTGTAAATGGGTAAATAAAGAAATATATATATATATATATATAAAGGTGACAAAAGGAGGGGAAATGTGAGAAAGAGTTAGTGTAAGAATGGAGGGAGAGAGTTATAATATTGAAGGGGAGGGATTAAGAGAGGGAAGGGGTATATGAGAGAAACGAGTGCGTATAAGAATGAGAGGGGGGCAATAGATTAAGAGAGAGAGAGAAAGTAAATCTGTGTGAAAATGAGTAAGAGAGGAAGGAATAAAAGAAAGCGATAATAAGATTTAGGGTAAAGAAGTAAGTTAATGAGAAGAGAACGAATTAAGGAGTGAGTGTGAGTAAATGAGGAATAGGAGGAGGGAGTTTCATTCAGTTTCGCACAAATGCCCTTGGGAATCAATCTTTTTATTCCAACTTATGAATTAAACAGCACTTAAGCGGTAGTCAGTTTAAGAGAAGGAACATTCTGTTTTCAAAATCGTGGAGAATATAGCGAGTGACCATTCCACTATATTTTCCAAGAAGTCATTGCCGTTCCCAGATAAAGAAATCGTGCCTGTGGAGAGCCATGATCGTTTACGTCCGAAAGGGACACGACATTTAACAAATAGAGAGAAAGAGGGAAATTGTGTGAGGATAAAGGGAGAGAGAGAGAGAGGGGATGATTATAAGAGGTAAAGGCGTAATAGAAAATATTAAGAGAGAGGGAGAATGAAAGTAAGAATGAATTCGCCATAAAAAAAATCAGCCCCACAAAAAAAACAAAAAAAAAAAAAACAACAACAACGGAAGAACCTTTGTCAACAAAATGGCAATATGGACGGAAAAGAAAAAAAAAAAAAAAAAAAAAGAGTCTTTTAAACTCTTTTCCATAACGGCAGACGAAGCGGTTCCCTCTCTACCGCTGATAGGAGAGGAGGGTCAGAAGCCGTTCAATTTCCGATTAGTTTGTCTTCCATCCGTTACCCTACGCGCACGTCTCAGCCTTTTCCCCGTCGATTTTCGCCGACTGACAACCCTTGGACTCTGCTTTCACGTTCACCCCGTTTAGGAACTGCACTTTCAGCTCTGACCATTTTTCCTTGCCTTTTTCTCGATTTTTTTTCCGCTGTTCCAACCAATGAAGCACCACAGGTCGCAAAAAGAAGTAACCAAGGCCCGCACCGAGGACAACGCTTATCATAATCCAAACATTATAACTCATAGCGCACAGCATGAGCATATAACCAACCAGTACCTGGAACATGTGCAGGAAAGATCTCTCCAAGTGCGTCCGTAGGGCCAGGGCTCGTTGCTTCTTTGGGCTTGAGCAACTGCCAAGATTAAAGAAAAGAATCAGATCAGGCTCGAAGCGGACAAAGAAAAGTAAGTCGTAATAAAAGTTCACTTACCACTATAAAATTTCTGTGTAACCATCGTTTAAGTTTTTAAAGCGACGTCTATGTTCTAAATTTCTTTTTGTCGTTTACTGTTTCAACTTGAATCTCTTACTCTTTACATAGCTACACAGTGAGAAACATTCGATTATTGAGATAGTTACTGTTATATAGGAAAAAAGTGTCGCTGCCGACATTTGAGTTTGAACATAGATCGCCAGTGAGCAAACGATCCCATTATTGAATTAAGTGGATCACGTGACCATAGAGGAAACGCATATATGGGAAGTTGCCTGATGTCTAGATTGATCTGTATCCTTTATTACTATACGGACCGCTATTCTCTACTCTATTCACTATACTATTATCTATTCGGATTACTATTCGAGCGAGTATTATCGAGCAAGTACTATGAGTGCGAGTGATATACGACTGCATCTGACACCAGTATTGTTCAATGGCGTACTATAGTTGTATCTACAATTACAGAGTTTTTACTACAACGAGCATTACCAAAGTGACAACGAGTATTCGTTGACATTACAAAAGTGTCAAACGAGTGTTCATTGACATCACAAAACAGGTTAAAATTAAGATGCCTGCGGAAATATAAAATATACCAATAACGATCCAATCATTACAAGTCCTGTCCCCAAACATAAACAATAAGGAACCTTCTGATGAGGAAATTAAGAAAGATATTAAAAAAAAATAAGGAATAATAATTCATCATTTTGCATTGAAGATAAACTTTTGAAAATAGTTTGCTTTCTCCCCAAATTCAATAACAAATGTCTCTGTTTTATGGAAAAGGTCTGGAATTCGAAATGCATCTCAAAAAAGTGGGGTTTATCATGCATTAATACTATACGGATCGCTATTCTTTTCTATCCTCTGTTACTATTCGGATCTCTGTCTCTACTCGATCCTCTATTACTATACGGACCGCTATTCTCTACTCTATTCACTATACTCTCTATTCGGATCACTATTCGATGGTTACTATTCGAGCGAGTATTATTGAGCAAGTACTATTAGTGTGAGTGCTATTCGAAGGCATCTGACATCAGTATTGTTCAACGGCATTACTATAGTTGTATCTGCGATTACGGAATCTCTATTACAACGAGCATTACGAAAGTGACAACGGGTATTCGTTGTCATTACAAAAATGTCAAACGAGAGTCCGTTGACATCACAAAAATTATCAATATTTGAAAGGCTTTGGGAATTGTAAGACCAAAGGATAGTTTGACAGGAAATTGATGCCATTGCATTTGGATTGGAAGTACACGAACACTTTGTGACATGTGTATTCTCGGGGATAAATAAAGTTTTTTTTCTTTATCGGTTCCAGAAGCCATGACTGTATAGATAACTGTAATATTAAGACGTGTTATCTCTAGTTTTGTTGCACGACGTACAACAAATTTTCGAAGGAGAAAAACCCCTTTGCTGAGAAGTACTTAGTGTGGAGCCATTAAAAAAATAATATATTTTTTCTTTAATTAAATATGAAGAGTTACTTTATTTACATCTTTTTCAGTAAAATCCAATTAAAAATAAATTTAAATCTTATGTAATTTAATATTTTTTTAATAATAAAAATGAATTCACCAACAGATTATTTTCAATGATTTGAATATTTTCTAATTCGGTAAGCTTACCATTTTTTTCACCTGTTTAAATAACTTGGTTGTGTTTTAAACAGTCTGGTTTGACTTGGCTCAACTAATTTGTAGTAATGTGAAATGTCAGATAACAACAATGGTTACTAAGAATACTGCAGGAAACAAAAGCTAAGAATCATAAACTTATTGGCTATAAAAGGTTAAAAATAATTATGTATGATGTTTAGAGGTGAATGCTAGACTTATAAATTATATATTTCCTAAGATTCTTTTTGTTAATCTACTAAGTCCATTTTAATTTCCTACCCTGGACATAGCTACACAGAGTTCACCATGAGAAATACATCTGAATAATTTTCTAATGTTTATATTAATAATAATAATAAAAATGAATTCATCAAACTTATTTTTTCGCTTGTTTAAATATTACCGTTTGAAGAAAATCTATTATTTTGACTGTAGATTACCCTTATTCAAAATACACCAGAGGAAAGATTGGGGAGGTCACAACGGCCGGAAGGTTGTGATAACAATAACAAAGTGATTCTCACTGTTACGGTACATTTCTTGCCTTATTCAATTGTAATATACGGAAAAATATTCGCGAATATAAAAGGATTGTGATCAAAATAAGCAGACATAATGTTTGTAATTTATTCATTCAGATATGCCTAAAAGAGAATTTACTGCTTAAATACACACACACACCTATATATATATATATATATATATATATATATATATATATATATATATATATATATAAAAGACATTTTTATGTTTATACATTCTTTTTTTTTTATAGATACAAATATTTAAGTAATTGCTCTGTTTATAATAAACAGTATTAAAAACATTTACCGGCTTGAATGTTATTTGAATATAAATTTAATTTAAATATTAAATTTATTGTCTATAAAAAGTTAAAAATAATTATGTATGATGTTTAGAGGTGAATGGTAAACTTATAAATTACAGTGTAACCCGGATATAAGAGAGTTGTCGGGACCGGAGAAGAAGTCTCTTATATCCGGGTTTTTCTTATATCCGGTTTTGGTCTATTTTGTTTAGGTAAGTATGGGCTCTAATTTGGGACCAGAGAAAATCTCTCTTATATCCGGGTTACACTGTATATATTTCCTAGGATTCTTTTTGATATTCTACTAAGTCCATTTTAATTTCCTACCTGGACATAGCTACACACAGTTTATATATGAATTTAATTTATATGAATTATAAACAGATCATTTACTTAAATATTTGTATCTATAAAAGAATGTATAAGCATAAAAATGTCTTAAAATAATTGTCGGTCGTTGTCCATTTCATATATATATATATATATATATATAAAGAATTGGACAAAGTCCGACAATTTATTAAAGACATTTTTATGTTTAACATTCTTCTTATAGATACAAGTATTTAAGTAAATGCTCTGTTTAAATTTCTCGGACATTCAGGCCGGTAAATGTTATTTAATACTGTTTATTATAAACAGAGCATTTACTTAAATACTTGTATCTATAAAAAGAATGTTAAACATAAAAATGTCTTTTTTATATATATATATATATATATATATATATATATATATATATAGAGAGAGAGAGAGAGAGGGAGGGAGAGGGATGCGTGTGTGTGTGTGCATGTATTCTTATTCCTGTTATTACTATTCAAATATTTGGACGACGGCCGGGGGAAAACTTGCAATCATTGTAAATGCTTCCAATTGCATATAATGAATCTACCGTCGTATCATTTCATGTTAGATGTCTTGTGGAAGAAAAGAAATGCAGGAATTATTTGTTCGGAAATTTGATAGTTATAGAACTGACGTATGTTGTGTAGGAGAAAGAAAAAAAAAATGATGATGAAGGTGGGGGGGGGGGTCAAAAAGTGCAGTGCGTTGCTCGCCGGCAGGCCAGCTATTTTTTTTCTTTTCTTCTTCGGTCGCCTCAAGGAAATGGATTGCGTAAACTCCCTTTCTCAGCCATTTCATTGGGCAGTTGTGAAACAGACACCCACTCAGCCGCACCTGCTTCGATTTCCTCTTTGTCCGTCTGTCAATCCGTACGTCCAACTCTATTACACGCAGTCCGCCGAATGATACCCTTATCGTTTTTTAGCCACGCCACCACATCACCCTGGCTGGAAAATGGTTTTATAACGTTGCTGCTTATGCGAACCTTCACCATATACCTGCCGAAACAGTTTGTAGGAGAAAAAAAACAAACCCTCATCATCATTTATTTTTTTTTCTCCTACATGTTGTCTTCAAGTTAATACATAATAGACAATAAATGCGATGGAAATGGTTTTGTCACCAATACGAATTGGAAGAATAACATCCATAGACATTGGACGAACAACCACAGTATAAACATTAAAGACATTAAAAGAACTATCAATAAAATTCCACCATTCGTTGTAAAAACTTTGAAGATCTTGAAAGACGTGCATCGTTTTCGTGGGTTAACACAAGACAGGAAGATTTGAAGAAGACCGATAAGAGATAAAGTGGAACCTCGGTTCACGAATTTAATTCATTCCTGAAGGCCATTCGTAACCCGAAATGTTCGTAAACAAAAACTATTTTTCCAATAGGAATCAATGTAGAGAAAAAAAAGTCACATTACAATAAAATTGGAAAAGAAAAGCACGCCACTAGACACGAATGTATACAACATGGCGGTCGAATCAAAAATGATTCCGTTTGGGTTAACTCGGTTCGGATATGCTGTTCGAGAACCGAAATTTTGTTCGTTAACCGAGGCATTTTCATCTTGAATTTTCTGTTCGAAGAACGATTTGTTCGACTTGTGAGACGTTCAAGAACCGAGGTTGCTCTGTATTTACAAAGTTGCCGAAGATTAAAAATCACAGTGATTTGCTGTATGCCTTCAAGTCGAAACAACTCTCATGATGATGGTGGGAATAAAAATTTGGTGATCTATTAATAAGAATGATAAACAAAATTATTTGTAAAGAAATGTTATCAACTAAAAATAATCCAATTTTTTAAGTCTGTATTTCTTTATCGATAAGGCGATTTGTAACGATAGAATGTTTGAACGTCAACTTAAGAATACTGTGTAAATGCGTTTGTCTATATGTTTCCTTGGCAGTTAAACATTCACGATTAAAAAACAATTGGCTAAACCTTTTGAAAAAAGAAAAAAAAAATAAGAAAAAAATGTAATCATTTGGCAATAGAATTAATGAATATGAAGGTCAAGGAAAAATTTTTTCCAAGAGTTTCTTGTACTTCTCGCCGGTAGGAATTTCTTGCTTCCTGTCGCTTAC